GACCACAATAATTCGTAGGTCCAGAACCGGTTGGCTACCTCACGTGTTAACTACCAGTTAATTTGCAACGACTCATTTGGGATTTCTCTGACAAGCTATGGTGCAGCACCCTTCTAAGAGCTTGCTTAGAATGACTCAGCAGGACCCGCATGCCAGAAGCAGACCATATAAGATTAGCGCCAATCTAATGTGACTTTAACGGAACGTTCAGTAGTTTGGCATGTATTATCTGCTCCAAATTACTTGAAATCACCGATCCGATCAGGGAGAAGATATTAGTTCTCTGTGTGCAGATTTCGTTCCTTGAAATGACTCTCTCAATTAATGTTCCACCTTTGTCGTTGTTCCACGCCGATCCAATGTATTTCTTTACGTTTTAGACCCGTTGCCGATGGACATGAAAGGAACACTAAAATCCAGCATCTCAGATCCTTTTATTATTATGACAAAAGTAATTTACTAAACCCAAATGCCAAAAGCTTCGCGTGATACTCTAAATATGTTTAATAATTTGGCTTGTTTCTCCTGAGAAGTTTAGAAAACGTTTTTTTAAAGCGTTCCATATGAACTCTGTTACTAAATTATACCGTAGGAATGTGCTTGGACGCTCAATCTGTTCGACCGCTAGAAATTTTTGTAACGAACTAAGGTTGGGAATATATTGATTTCGAAGAAATTAGGAATCCATATAAATCTGCAAACGCTCAACGAAATAAGGTGAATTTTTAATTAGCTTTGCCCATTTGTTCTACGTTGGGACATGGTTTTAGCATAGAAAAGGAGGGTAAACAAAAAGTGTGGAATAGTCAGGTAGGTTTTAACTACTTGACACAATTACTGATAAGCAGGCTTTTGGAAACTATCATACAGTTCTCAGCCTATTCTGCCCATCTTGGGCATCACCTGGTAGGCGTAGTCTATGAGATTCTACCGAATATATGTTCTAGCTGAAAACCAAATTGTAAGCAAGTGGCTAAACATATTTAATCACGAACTTCACTGACATCAACGAGGGGCGATGAGTTTCAACGGCGGGATCTATGCGAGCGGAATTCGGTACGCCAAAATACGCTAATTTGTAAACAAAGTTGGGGCTAACGAGAAAATCAGGTGACTCCTTAATGTTGTTTATAAAATTCTTTGACTAAACGTGTTACACATGTGCATCAGCTGGTAGCGTACTTGAGAACACAAATTTTATTTTCCAGACGTAGCTCTGAGACTAAGCTTACCTAATGAATACCGATAAAGAAGAAGATCATTGTTTCAACGACATTACAAGTACGTTGTCATGTCAAGAAAACGTAACTGAATATCTCTAATACTGTGCCAAATGAAACATAAAGTGACGTTTGTGCGGCACATTTAGTTGAACAATATAAAAGAGAGATTTAGCTGCGGTTAATTATGGTCTCCGAATAACGCAAGATTCAGTTGCAGAGGGGTGTATTTTGTCAATTTCGTTTTGCCATCTTCATCTTACCTGTTCCTGGCCTTTTCAGAACCTGTCCAAATAAGCATGTTGACCTGTCCGACAAGAATCTTATAATTCCTCGCCCCAAATGCCAAAAGATGAGTCAACGTCATGATAGTTTGTTTCAGAGGGCGTGTAGATAGTCGAATGCCCATTGCCAAATTTTCCACTGATTTCAAGTCATCATTTGCTTTACCTCGATAGGCTCTAGGGTTACTTTAACGACATTTTTAAAATGCCAAGACGTCAACATGAATGTCGTACAGAGCACAGCACCGGGTTCTTTAGCAGTGCATGTGTTTGTATGCCATACGATTTACCTGAACTTGTACCTGGGATAATGCGATTCGCGATAACTCATGTAATAGCATCAATTTTACAGCCTAGCTTGAGGATAACTGACGGATAGTTAAACTCACGCCTACTAGATCGGACGACTGACGAATGAGCGGAACCCTTGAGTAGCAGAACAAACGATCTGGAGTGGAAATATAGCAGGCGTACCATTTATTTAGGGGCTTTCCAAGAACGCAATCCTGCTTGATAAATCCGTTTCTTTGCATTACTGATGGTCTAAACAAATGCCAAGCTGAACTGAAGCCTGAACTAAACAGAATCAACGACTCTTGGATATCGTTTGATCACATTGAAGTCGAATTTCAATTACACACCTTGGATTATGAAACCTTTTGCGATTGGGACAAATGCATCTTAGTCAGTCCTTGTAACAGTATCTGGTTTCACTAATCTAATGTACATACTGACAGGGAAAGAGAACTCGAAAATTAACTCCCCGAAATCTTTGTTTTGCAGTAGTCGTATAGATCTTAAGAATTAAACCATTATGAGCAGCCTCCAGTTCATGTTGTTTTTAACAAAGATTGTGCGTCCAGTGAAGCATTCAATAATCCTCGAAATTCTCTAAACCTGACTTTTTTATCACTTCAGGTCTGAGTTACTCAAAAGGACGAGACAGTAGCCCAATTTCAAAGGACATAGATTAGTTTGTTCCAAAGCATTGAGAAATTTGTGAGTTTGAGGTTTTACGGTGAAAATAAATTACGAAGTTTTCGTTTGGGAAACAATCCTTGTTTACGTGGAGCTGCGAGGATGTCTAGATTGATCATGCAAACGAACAAAAAACTGCAGCTAATCAAACAGCATACAACTGGTTTGATCTTTTTCCTGAACCTGGACGTATTTGTCACATCTTAACAGAGTTCTAGCAGGTTAATTTTAGCTTTGACCAAACGAGCATGCCTTAACGAGATACAAGCTCATTAGGAAAAAATAATTTTCTTCTTTTCAAACAAAGCCTAATCTAAATAAAACTGAATGTTCAGACGATGTGGCCAGTACTAATGTCAGCGAATACAAACTTGACATTATCAAGATTAGACATACTTGTACTTTTGCTGCAATCGATCAACTGTCATGTCTATTAAAACGTTTTACATGCTTAACTTACTTCCCTCGCGCAAATATACAAGGACATTAATTTAACAGCAACAAACGTATATTTATGGTATTTTAATTCTGTGACTGTAGTCACGATATATTAACGTGGTCCGTAAATTCGCGAAAAAATGGTGTTTCTTTTTATAACTTACAACCTGTAGGTCAAAGTGGATTCATCAGAAGGATTTCATAGCCCTTCCGAACGAGATGACCTAGTTGCGGCCGACTGCTCTTAACGGATGTTGGGCCCCCACCCCCACATTTTATGCTACAATTGGCTGAGTAGTCGAGCGATCTGTCTGAACAGCTTTAGGGATTACAGTAGGGAATTAAGTGAGGAATAGGTGAGAAGCACTGGCTTCCCAACAGGAAATCAATGAAAAAGAGTGCAGTGCATTCCTTCTGCCAAGATCTGTGGGAAAATGTTTGGCTGGAGGCTTCAGAATAATTCAAATGAATAAACATTTTAGACGCACCAGTTGAGTTTTCAAATAAATGCCATCATTCTTGTAAAAAAGCAAACAAGTTCAGCGATTGGCATTTTATTGAGTGATGATTACGACATTCATTTTTAACCAATCAGTTTCTGTTTCCTACGAAAGCGCGAGAGATCCACCTTTGGGCAGAATAGCCAGTTCCTGTTCACGGCCCCAAAGTGAACGGCAAGCTTGACATAAAGTGCGCACACCTGGCTGAAATACGGGGCAGGGGCCTGTTGAGAAATTTGGCATCACACGTCACAATCACTTCACAAGTTTTGTTCTCCCCAGCCGACACCAGTTTGTTCATTCGCACTGCTTAAATCCACTCTCGTATAATAACTGTCACGAGAAGCTGATCATTAATTTTGTCATCAAGTGGAGCAGCGAACTCTCCCTTCCCCTAAAATCATACTTTGTAAATGTGCTCATCGTTTAATTCGTTACGCCCACCCCGATTCTAACCGTGCCCATCAGCAAAACACCTCTCTCATTATTCAGGTTATTGTGCCCAGACTGATTGGTAAACTGATCCACTCTAAGCACTAATCCTTATTATCTGTATTCAAGATCGTCTTGTGAGCGTGGACTAACTCACTCTTCACCTCGGATGCAGATAACTTCCTTCTCTCCTGTCCAGTTGAACCAAGTCTAACGGCACCTGTCTGATTGGTGAATTTCGATCTCAGCTCTGTCCTGTCTGTCACACTCCCCGCCAATGTTTGCTCATGTACCCGAAATACGTAAGTCTCTGGTCCTACCAGCGGAAAAGCTGCTGGATTATCCTAAGGTAGAAGACGCGCTGAACTCTCTAAGGGTCAGTCATCAAGTATACCATACTCTAAGTATACCGGTTTTTACGAGAACTATTCGATTTTTTCACCAGAATCAATTTTGTCTGATGACCGAATTCTCCGTTTCAGTATGAGTGTCAGCGGAACAAATCACGGAGGTCCTTTGTATCTTATATTGCCTGGTTAAATCCATACGTTTTCCTCATTTATCGATCACTCGAGCGGATCACGACGACCAGTCTTGAAGAGATCACGCACTTTAGTCACACTCCAGGACGTATGTGTCTGCATGTTTGGTTCCATGTATTTTTGATGCACTAGCTATGCAGTCGTGAGGACATTTCGGTCAATCTTGTTAAGGCCACACTCGCTTGTTTAAATGGATAAAACTGGACAAAATCTCTTTGTAGGGCTGCCCAATAAACATTAAACGGTAAGGACAGATATGCCGGTAGGTCGGCGAACAACAAGTCATGTGGCTTCTCTTGTGTGCCGACTACAGAATCAAAAGCATGCCACCACGGGAGACCACGACATCTCCCACGGTGTTTTTGTGGGAATAGTTTACGTGGCCACACGTTCGAAAGTCGAACCGGGCACGAAGCACAGCGAATCCAGCATTCACTATGCAGGCGGCTGGGGATTATCCCTGCACACAATTAATCACGTAGGCCGTCTTCTCGTGGCTGTGCCAAACTGATTGGTCAAGACAGTCCAAGCTATCGATCGGGATACAGTCTCCTTGCCATACACCCGTAATTTTTGTGCTGACTTTGGATTGGACAGTGGCAACAAGTGGCACAATCCGTGTTATTACCAACCCCAAAGCGGTGCTCCTGAATGGGTAAGGCACACAAACATCCGCCAGGCAAAACTGCCTCTTCCACAAAGCTTGAGAATTCGAACAATACGAAACCCGTTAACTCACCCAATAATACACACAAGTCACAACCAAAAAATATTCAAAAGGTGTCTTCGTCAACCAAAGATCTTATCAAGCATATGAGTATGAAAGCGGTGCTATTCCTGATCCTCTGCATGGCTATACGTGTCATATACACACACTCCTATGAAGCAGCTCTGGAACACAAACAGACGAAAGCACAGAAACCTGAGGTGGATACAGAAGCACCCATGAGAGTTCATGATGACAATCCTACTCTGTGTGGGCAGGCTGGATATACAGTTGTTCTGCCACCGACGGTGTTCATCGGCGTTCTGGTGAGAAATAAAGCCCACGTACTTCCGTATTTCCTACATGGACTCGAGATACAGGACTACTTGACTAAAAGAATCCAGCTACTATTCTTAGCAGACAACTCAATTGACGATAGTGTCAATGTGTTATCCCAGTGGATTGATTCTGTCAGAGAACGCTACCATCTGGTGAATTTGGAAATTGGTGGCGATTATTTGGCACACAGCAAAATGTGGTCCACTGAACACTACGAACATGTTGCACTTTTAAGGCAACGGCTTTTGAACGCAGCCAGGAAATCATGGGCGGATTTCTACCTCACTATAGATGCTGATGTCATTTTGATGAATCCAGACACGCTAAAGCATCTTATAGAATCTGCACAGAATCCAGGCAAAATTTCTTCAGAATTCTCCGACCCGTTACCCGCAATCTCACCGCTGATGAACTGCACATCGTCGGAGTTTTATTCAAACTTTTGGGGAGCTATGACGGAAACCGGATATTATGCGCGATCTGACACGTACTTTGACATACAACGGCGGTCAGTTATCGGCTTATTTGAAGTCCCAATGGTGCATAGCATTATTCTCGTTAACTTACGTCATAAACTTAGCGAGAACCTGCGATATTACCCACCTCCTTTTGGATACAAAGGCCCATTGGACGATCTAATTATTTTTGCTAGATCAGCACAATTGTCGCACGTGCCATTCTATCTGGACAACAGAGAATTCTATGGTTATCTGCCAGCTCCCGTGGACGAAAGTGACGTTTTCGGTCCAGGATCACCTACGGAACAGTGGCTCAGGCGAGAGGTCGAACTGTTCGTGCACCTACGTCTGGAAGTTTTGATCGACCAGGAGAACAGTATGAGGGTACTACCCAGCGAAGCACTCAAGGATGTGGCCGAAAATTATTTGCCTCCTAGGAGTAAACTAGGATTCGATGAAGTTTATTACATAAATCTTTTACGTCGCAAAGATCGTCGAGACAAAATGGAGTATTTTCTCGATCAACTGGGGATAGATGCCCGCCACGTGGCCGCCGTGGACGGGATGTTGTTGACATCGGAGAACATCACCAAACTGGGAATCAAGCAGCTGCCTGGTTACGCTGATCCTTACCACAAGAGAGCACTCAAATTCGGAGAAATTGGATGCTTTCTCAGCCACTACAGACTGTGGCGCGTGAGTCCAATGATTTGTTGTTAATCCATTTCAAAAGAATTGCAGTAACTGTCGTAGCTCGTAGGCTTTTACTTGTCATTTTCGCGCTGGGACGACAAAATTTTTGCGTCACCCTTATCGACACGCAAATTGAGAGGAATAAAAGTGGAACTGGAAGTGCAATTTGCGCGCGATTATTTCATCACATATGAAGAATGTGAACAACTCTCATAATAGGTTGCTTATTGAGGCTAGTCCCAGGCCTAGTGGGTCATTGTGATTGCAGAACTGGGGGAAATCGTGGCACCACTGAATTGATTCGTATATCGCTATTCGTTTTTGAAAGTCTGTGTGGAATGGATGCTGGATGTAGCATTTTTCGGACTTGTTATAAGGTGCACGAAAGTGTTGGATTTTAAGAAGGCCGCTATCGCTGGGTATCCCCTTCCGGCATTTCGACAGTATTTCCGGACTTCCGGTATTTCCACGGATAAAAAGGCTAGATAGAAGATAAATTAATAAGGAAAATGGAGCGGTTGCCGGATGCATCAAGTTTTCACTGCCCAACCGTCTTCTCAGTCACTGAAGACGGCGTCATCGTTTTGGTTGGACTGGATCTTACTTGAGAGTTAACACCTTTTATCGGATGTGGAAACAGATGATACCGTAGTGCGCGAACTTGTGGAATTAGCAACATATTGCTCTGAACCTGGTGCAGCAATACAGTGACCCCTTGTTAATGATGAGCACTATCCTTAAGTGGGATATATTTGACGTTCAGAATGTTTGCCAGTATCTTTAGGGACTCATCACTTTACAGACCATTTATAATGGATTCAGAGTGTGGTAAACGTTCGAGGATGATCCCAACAGAAACAGGTCTAAATTTGTTTCTGTCTAAAAAACGGTATAGCTGGCTTGCATGGCCTGCTGTAGGATGGACGCACGCTTCAAAACACAGTGGCGTGCTTAGTCCTTACAATCGCACACGTGTTCACGACTTTTCAGACCCAGCTGTAGTGTTTGCCTGAAACACAACACCGAAGTCCGGCAGCTGGCGTATTTTTAGTCAAATAGTCTCCTTTCTTTCCCTATTTAGCTCATATCCACCTGCTAATTTCATGTGGGCAGCCCAGTCTGATTTCAAGCGAACGTTTGGTAGCGTGGCAACAAACATGACCTGGGGCAGACAATCAAAGGAGATTGTCCAAACTATGTCCACAAAATGTAACTTTGGTGTGCATCCTTGGCGGTATACGGACCGCGANTCCCTATTTACTCATATCCACCTGCTAATTTCATGTGGGCAGCCCAGTCTGATTTCAAGCGAACGTTTGGTAGCGTGGCAACAAACATGACCTGGGGCAGACAATCAAAGGAGATTGTCCAAACTATGTCCACAAAATGTAACTTTGGTGTGCATCCTTGGCGGTATACGGACCGCGACATTCATGAAGTTAAACCTCCGTGGTTCAAGGTTGTTATCCAGCTTTCTGTTTTTAGACCTAAAACGTGATTTATAACGGGCGGAGTAGTATTCTGGAAGCTGAATCGTTAGAGGAATGATGTTCAGGATTATCACTAGGTATTCCGTAGTCTGTGTCTAACAACACAAGTGCCTAATAAATCATTTGTGTATACTATCCGAATAGCTCCTTGTTTGCATTCGAATATAAAATAAAGCTTGGGACACCAGGTTTCCGATAGTTTTGCCAAATATCGTCGGGGAATGCACATTGTTGTTGTTTTTTACTCTAGAAAGTCAGTTTGTTATTCCTTGCTTAATGTCACATGTCACATAATCGTTTACATAAAATTAATAATAGACCTTAATGGCTTTAACAAAATAGCGTAAGCAAGTGATTTACATTAGCAATCAGAGTGATCAAATCGTTGGAATGAATTCCTATCCGAAGGGCATAGCAAACAAGCAACGAATTTTTCAATGAATTTAATTTTATAGTCTCTACGATTGTTTCTTCGAAGTTGGGTATTTGTAATTTGTTCGATTGGTTTCGGCGAAAAATCTAACTGGTTATCTGGCGCACATTTTCCATGTTTGCACATGGTTGTTTTCGTTGGATCCCTCGACGTCCGACTTATTACTGAGTAGGTCTACGGTAACTTTCTCTATACAGTGAACCGGAACGATTATACGAAACGATGCTGGATTCGTTTGCAGTAGGAACATTTAAACAGATTCACCATGATACACGGTGTTTAGATATCCCCATGAAGAACGAGACCCTTTTCAAGTGATCCGCAGCCTTCAGCTGTAAAGAAGTATACTGACTGTAAAACTGCGTGGTAGGCGAATACGATAGGGTGGATTCCGCAACACCGGATAGTATATAAGTGCGAGTTATGTCACACTAAGCATATTCAACTGTACCTCAAAACTCAGTTGCTTTAGCGCACTGAAATATAAAAAGCTGAGAAGGCTGAAGTGCGGATTGTTTTCGGGAGCAGAGAGGCACGAAGGTCGGTAAATAAAACAGGAGTAAATGCTATTAGACTAAACGGGAACATCCATCCGGACTCACGCAGTCCAGAAGGTTTGTCTTCAATAGGCCGCTGCATAAACTTCCCAATGGCTTCGCGTGCAAACCTGCAAACGCTGCATGAGTCAACGGATTTCTTAATACCAGAGTTTTCTCTCTTCAAAACAGTCAACAAAAGATTAAAATTGGACGGGTGATGGCCCGCAGCTGAGCTTATAGATCACGGCTTTGGTGCACTGGTATACAATTGATTGACTTCGCGTATTTTATCGAGTTTTGGTACTTAGGATGAACAACAGATCCCAATTTAGGTCAAACACCATCTGGCTGGCGGTACTAACAGAGCCAGTGCGTTGTCAGTGAGATCCTAAATCATTGGCTGATACAAAATATCGCCCTCTGTGTGCAATTTGAAACAGAATATCCCACTTTATTTGGAAAAATCTTATTTGACTTTCAGGAAATGGAAGACAGAGGTTACGAGCGTATTATGATATTGGAAGACGACGTCCGGTTTGCACCTGGATTCGTACGAAATTTAGCCGGTGTGCTTTCTGAGGCCGACACAATCAAACCAGATTGGGAACTAATATATATTGGAAGAAAGCGAATGTCTAAACATGAAAAACGTGTACCCGGAACATCCAAATTGGCTTTCCCCGACTACACATACTGGACTTTGGGCTACCTACTGAAAAGAAGTGGTGCAAGGAAGTTGCTTGCGCAAGATCCTTTGAGACGAATGGTGGCTGTGGATGAGTACTTACCAATAATGTTTGATAGACACCCCCAGAAAGCTTGGTTGGAACAGTTCAAACCTAGGAATTTGGTTGCCCTCTCTGCCGAACCACTGCTTGTCGAGCCACAGAGGTACACAGGCGAGAAGCACTACGTTTCAGACACAGAAGATTCGGAAGTTTTACCAGATAAGTGATATTCAATTCAAAAATTGTAGCAGTATTGTACTTAGGTATAGATCATTTTCGTCTTGCTACGACTTCTGCCCCGTGAAATCCAAATGGTTTTTGCAAACGCCATTACTTGAATTTTTGCCTGTATTTTACTGCAATAAATTCTTTTGCTAAAAATGAATAACCTATGCTGTTGTTTACTCTACCTATGGAAAACACTTCTTGTGTTTCGGTGTTCCGTGGCATACATGAGCCTAGAGTATAGAATGCTCAACAAAAATTCCGGTTTGTCTTCCATAGGAGGTGTCTGAGGAGCTTACAAGTTAAGATAACCAGGTGCTTTGTACAGAAACTTGAGGGGAAAAGCAAGCAGGATCGTTGAAATTTAAAAAAAATATCAAAAGAACAAGAAACCTAGAGTAAAATTTAACCTCGAGTTTACACAATCTCAGCTTAAAAACGTCTGCTTACTTGCGTAAAATGCAAGAAACTATCAGGCCGAATTCAAGCACTTCTGTGTCACTACTACGAATCACGAAACAAACTAGATGGCACTACAAAAATCGCGACGTGCTGGTTGGTAGCTTAGGAATTTCAAAGATGTTTGGGTTTGATTGATTTTACCGCTGACAGTATGAATTCAGTTCAGCGGTTGAAACAGCAGTCTGCCCGCATACTATTCCTACTGAATAATGGAGTGTTCTGGGTCACGATGACAGTGTTTGCCCAACCGCGGTCGGTCCACATTCAGCCTACGTTCATTTCGTTTCAGCTACAGAGGGATACCTTTTACCCCAGAACGCGCGCGGTATAAAATCTCTCACTTCCTAATCAAATTCATATGGAACCATTAGCATAATTTATTGAATAACAGTGCCTGAGTGTAAGAACATGTGTGCCAAAGTGCGCATATAATTTAAAGGATACATACAATCATTGCTGTCCAGGACCCAAGACAACACCCTCAGGAGCTGAAACACCAAAAGGCGCTAGGTCAAGCTGAAATTCACTTACTTATTTTTTATATCATTTTGTTTGTTTTGTTTGTTTGTTGGCTTTTCATCAGTTATATAAATGATCCTACCACAAAATAGTACCACCAACAACAAGCAACAACACATCTACATTTGTCTTGCGCAATGTCCGACAACCTTTGGGGTTGGCTGACAGTGTTGCTAGCTTGCAGCTGTTCGGTTTTTTTCCATGACTGAATGCAAGAAAGTTACTAGGACAGGAAATATAAATAGCTATATTTTGAATCACTTGACTGGTTTCACAGACCGTAGGCCAGCTTCTTTTGAGTGGTCCTGAATGCGCTGAAATTGCGGAACATCTGACTTTTGTAATGACTGTCCTCCATAAAGTCTTGGTTTAAAAATGCAGTTCTGAATGGGACAATCAAAAGACTGTTGTGAATGGAAATTGCTTTTTAAATGTAGAACAATGTTGCAACAGAATCAGTGAAACGAGGCAAGTTACCAAAGGTGGTCCGAAGTATTCCAGATATGTACAGATTTATTCTGAATGGAGCTGTAAAACTGAATTTGCACATTTTTGCACGATATTACTGACCAGAGAGTCATGCTTGCTTTATCCCCTGTCTGAAAGCACGAGTGGTTCGAGAATTTCCCCCAAGTGCGAGACGAATGTAAGTGGTTGGTGTTAACTCAGCCCCGACAAGAACACCGTACAAAATGCCGTGTTATGGGAATAACGTGATTGATTACTGTAAATCTGGCTTCGGTTTTTATATTGTGCGCTTAGTTTGGCTGCGCTTTGTTCCGGTCAAACCAGTCTGACTTTTCTGTTTCAAGAATCACACTCAAACAGATAGCACATTCAGCTTGCACATTATTTTTACTCTTGAAGCAATTTCCATCGATTGACCTAGGACTGAAAAATATCGAATGGATGCCAAGAAACATACAAAATATTGTTTTCCACCTATCTATTCTTAGGATAGTCACAAACCTCTGCAACGATTTTATGTAAATAATTTTCGTCCCTGTTTCCATTTCGTGCTTCATAAAGGAAGCTGATATGATTTCTCATTTCATTTTATCCATAAATGCGGTGATGGGTCGCTTTCTGTGGGTACTCAACCATCCTCCAACTGTATGCATAGCTTAGATTGTCATTTGCTACGAAAACACATATACGAGTCAGGAGATTCCGTGAAACGAAAATTTTCATTTAAACCTGTGTGGACAATGCTCGACAAAGCCTCTATACAGTACATTGAAGCGATACCAACCACCATTACTCTTTTCTGATACCTTCTTGTTTTGTACACTTTAGAGCTTGGTATGCTCCGAAAGCTTTTCCAGAATAGTACCGAGCACGAAACACCCATTTCCACAGCAGCATTATGCCACGACCACTTTACATTAATCCTACCAGCGCGAAGAATGAAGAGTAACCTAAAGAAGGATCGTTTGTGCTGCTGTAGTCCCAAGTATCTACGGCAAGTAGTAATCATCAATTATAATAAGACTGCTACGGGTTTAACACTTTTTGGCACCATTCCTGAAAATCGATTGAGACCACAGTCAAGTTTTGATGTCGCCGGTTTTCTACCATGCAGGACCACTTGGCTCTTCTTGAATATTGCCTGAAAAATCAGATACAAGGCTGCTCCTTGAGACTGCGTTGGGAGAGATCAAAATGATCTGATCTTGAAAATCGTTGCATCTAAAGTATACACTTTCAAGAAGTTGGTCGTTGTTCATAACAAAAACGTAGCCCTATAGAGGAAAATGTCGGTAGCTCAGGTGGCGTAGATGGTCGTTGGCTTGTTCGCTGAGCTGAGCAATTTGGTTGCAAACGTTTCATCACCAATCGAGGTGACATCATCAGTGCGTAGTTGTGCGTAGCGGTGGGTTAGTGGTTGTGCGTTCAGTAGTGTTACGTGTGTGTTGATATACGTGCTGGTAGCCGAGGATGACCTTTGACCGCGATTAGTTATTCCGTCGGGCGGTTCCATTGGTTGTTCTTTTTATCCCGTGTCCTCATTCGCCGATGCCTACGTGACTTTTGAACTTGAGATTCCTCGCCGTCGTAGTCTAGTCGATGTTGGAGTGACCTTTGTCCTTCCGAGTTCCGGTTATGACCTCAATCAAGGAGGACCGAATAATGGATTCACAAACGAAGAAACAAGGAACTCCTCGGAGTCAAATCAATGAGGTCACAACCGGAACTCGGAAGGACAAAGGTCACTCCAACATCGACTAGACTACGACGGCGAGGAATGTCAAGTTCAAAAGTCACGTAGGCATCGGCGAATGAGGACACGGGATAAAAAGAACAACCAATGGAACCGCCCGACGGAATAACTAATCGCGGTCAAAGGTCATCCTCGGCTACCAGCACGTATATCAACACACACGTAACACTACTGAACGCACAACCACTAACCCACCGCTACGCACAACTACGCACTGATGATGTCACCTCGATTGGTGATGAAACGTTTGCAACCAAATTGCCCAGCTCAGCGAACAAGCCAACGACCAAAAACCTAGCCCGTTTCCTGTAGCAGAAAATTAGTTTCTACGCCATTTCCAATGGAAAATAACGGGTTTGGACTACTGAATAAGAGATCTTTACTTTGTCAGCAACCAGTACAGCTGAATCTATGCGTTGCCACACTTTTGCTCGACTGTGGCAATTTTACTCTACGCATTGACCAATCGGCTTCGGCATAGCCAACATGCATATGCTACGTTGTTATAAGTTAGTAAAGCTCCCGACGTGCACCTAGTGATGTTTTCCGTCACATAACTGAATGTTTAGATAATCAAATGAACAAACGAACAGCTTACAGAAGCTGACTTTGATGGCAGTAAAACCCAGCTAGGAAACAATATCAGGAGCTTGGAGAACAGTGGGACCAAAGAATTTCTGAAATCAGGATAGACACCAAAAATGTGTAAACGTCAAATCACATTTCTGGTTCCGAAGCACCAAAAAGTATGCCGGTTACAAATTCCGTAGCGCAGAAGTTCAAGCTCCTACTTTTAGAACTATTTGAGCGCATACGTTTTGCCTGTGATTGGATAACCGCGGAGGCTCTGAAGAGATATCCTGGCAAGTAGTACGGAAGGTTTTGTTTGTGAATGACAAATCCATGAAGGGACAGAGAAGTAAAAATACAAAATGATCGTAACTGTGGTGTGTAGCGCATCTAAAGGAAAGTAGCATTTAGCCGTTGTATAGTGAGGTGGAAGACTTATATGTCTCGAACCTTCAAAACGTATTAAATAGTGGTGAATTAGAAAGCAGAAAAAAGTGAGTGGATGACGCGAAATATTTTGTAGAATATCTTGTCTAAGTGGTGGTGTGATTCGCTGCAGAAAACGATTGTACTTGTTGCAGTCAAGCCAAACCACGAAACTTGAACTTCTTGGAAATGTTCTTCAATATTGCTTTTTATATGAAAGCACCCATACCGGACATTACTTTGTTTGATACTAACTTGGGAAAACATCCCAGTCGATAGCAAAGGCAAATAATTCTGAAACTGCATCCTTTCGCATCAAACCTCAGTTAAGCTTCGTGGGAAAACAGTCACTGAAAGGCGGTCCCCAGTCCACTTCCAACAAGCGTAGTTCTGATACATATTCTCAGTGTAAAACTAAATGATTCTGTACGTGACGGACGCCACCGCAGCCTCATCAAAATCGCGTAGAATTGTAAGTTTTACCGGACAAAGCAAGTTGTCAGGCGAACGGATTCGCAGTATTCAGATACCCATTGCGTTTCCCGCGGAAAAATAATATGCAGAATTCGTCATTTTGATCCGAATAAACCATGATCAAAGGAACACTATGTTCGTTATTCACTATTCATATTTGCGTCTTCTTTTCAAAAGATCAATAAGGACAAACCGTTCTTCCGTCTGTGAAAGCGAACGCAACAAAAAGGAAGTTTGTAACAACAAGAGGCTCGCGCATCGCATGAGAGGAATTCATGGGGGGCGCAGCAAGCAGCATGAGAGGAACCAACCGAATGTCCATTGTTTTGTCAGAACGGGCCGATGACGTCTACTCTGAGGTGAAGAACGTTCTTTAAAGTGTTATGGTACTGTTTTGCAAACTGACAATAAACAAACAGCTTCGATTTGCGGTTGAAAAACAAATTCATAGATGGGAACAGATGGAA